CCCGCCTCCCTCCCCCTCCCTCCTCCCTCCGCCCTCTCGCTCACACACACCCCCGCTTGGGCCTCCTCTCTCTCTCCGGCTCCATTTTCTCCGCCGCCGGGGGCCGGGGTCTCCTGTGGGGGGCCCAGCCGGTACCCCAGGTCTCCCTTCAGTGCCGGGGTGAACCCGGGGGAGCCGCGAGGGGGGAGGCGGGCGGGGTTGGGGCGGAGGGAGCAGCGGCCCCGGCGAGTTTGGGGGGAGTAACCCGGCGGGGGAGGGGCGGAGCAGGGAGGGGGCCTCAGGGCCCCCCCCCCCGCGATGGACGAGCGGCTGCTGGGGCCGCCCCCTCCCGGCGGGGGCCGCGGGGGCCTGGGATTGGTGGGTGGGGAGCCCGGGGGCCCTGGCGAGCCTCCCGGCGGCGGAGACCCCGGTGGGGGTAGCGGGGGGGTCCCGGGAGGCCGAGGGAAGCAAGACATCGGGGACATTCTGCAGCAGATAATGACCATCACCGACCAGAGCCTGGACGAGGCCCAGGCCAAGTGAGTGCCCCCACCCCGGGACCCCACACAGACCCACAGGACCCTGTTCACAAGCTGAGGCTTCGGGGAGCCCCCACCCCAACTCCAGGGCCCTGTGAGCGCTCTTCTGTCCGAGTCCCGGGGGCCCCCGGCGCCTGATTGCTCTTGAGCCTCCCTTTCACCCCAGGCCCTGAAACCTGCGCGGAGAGCAGCCCAGGTGGTCTCAGTCCCCTGCTCACCTCGGTGACCCCCACACTGCCCCGAGCAGCCCCTGGCCCCGGACTGGAAACTGTTCTGGGCAGCGTTGTCTTCTCCCCTCACTCTCCACGCAGCCCACCCCGTGCTCGCCAGACCTGGGGCTCCCGCAGCCCTCCCCGAGCTCCTGGCGCTGCTGTCCCCCGCGGCCCTGCCTTCAGGACCCCTCACCACCTCGCCCGCGCCCCACACACCCTTTCCCGGACGCCCCGCTCGCCGGGCACCCGGCCCCTCTCCGCGCCTCCAGCTCGGACTCCTCCGCCTCAGCTCCTGTCCCCTGGAAGCCGCCTAGGCGCCCTCCACTCCCGCGCCGCTCCCAAACCGTCCCACTCCCCAGGCCTCTCCCAGGCCCCGCTCCTGCAGCCTGCATCTCTGTCCGTGCCCTGGAGCGGATCTCTGTCCGGGAGCCACCCCGGCCCCGCGTCTTCGCCGCACGCTCCTCTCCTCCCTCCGTAGTGCCAGACTCGCCCTGTTTCTCCAGCTGCTCAACTTTTCTCTCCCCATCCCCGTTCCTCCCAAGGAAACACGCCCTCAACTGCCATCGAATGAAGCCTGCTCTGTTTAGCGTCCTGTGTGAAATCAAAGAGAAAACCGGTACGTGGTCCGCTCTGATCCCGCAGCTACGGGGGCGAACCCTGCTCATCGCTCATCGCCTGGCTCAGAGTTTGATAACTTGGGGTCCTGAGAGAAGGGGGGACCTTGGGGAGGCTGCTGAGGGGACGGGGACAGGACCCAAGCCTGGAAACGTGGGTGTCCAGGAGGGCTGAGTGCTGGGGGGCCGGGTCTCTAAGGCGACCCGCCTTCACACTAGGCCTCAGCATTCGAAGCTCCCAAGAGGAGGAGCCGGTGGACCCCCAGCTGATGCGCTTGGACAATATGCTTCTGGCGGAGGGTGTGGCCGGGCCTGAGAAAGGGGGGGGCTCGGCAGCAGCTGCAGCCGCCGCAGCAGCCTCGGGGGGCGGCGTGTCCCCCGACAACTCCATCGAGCACTCGGACTACCGCAGCAAGCTCGCGCAGATCCGCCACATCTACCACTCGGAGCTGGAGAAGTACGAGCAGGTGAGGAGGCCTGCGTGGGTGGAGCGGGAGGCTCGGTGGAGGGCACCCCCCGGCCAAAGGGCTCCTGCTCACCGGCCCACCGGGTGCCCCTTCCCCTCCAGGCGTGCAACGAGTTCACAACCCACGTCATGAACCTGCTGCGGGAGCAGAGTCGCACGCGGCCCGTGGCGCCCAAGGAGATGGAGCGCATGGTGAGCATCATCCACCGGAAGTTCAGCGCCATCCAGATGCAGCTCAAGCAGAGCACCTGCGAGGCCGTCATGATCCTGCGATCCCGCTTCCTGGACGCCAGGTGGGGCTGGGGGTCCCGCCGGGCCCCTGCACTGGGTGCCTTCCCGTCCCTCTCCAAGACCCTGGGCCGCCACATTGCACAACCCAGTGATCCGAGACAGTGGTGTCACCTGGAGTGGTGCCACAGGGCAACCTTGCCAGGACACCAACTCCCGTCCTCCTCCTCCTCCTCTCTCCTCTGTAGACGAAAACGCCGCAACTTCAGCAAGCAGGCCACTGAGGTCCTGAACGAGTACTTCTACTCGCACCTCAGCAACCCGTACCCCAGTGAGGAGGCCAAGGAGGAGCTGGCCAAGAAGTGCGGCATCACCGTGTCTCAGGTGTTGAGAGGCTCCCGAGGAGTCTGGAGGCGGGAAGGCTTTCCTGAAGGAAAGGCTTCCTCCTGACCCTCTCTGCCCAACACCCCACAGGTCTCCAACTGGTTTGGCAACAAGCGGATTCGCTATAAGAAAAATATTGGAAAGTTCCAAGAGGAGGCAAACATCTACGCTGTCAAGACCGCGGTGTCAGTCACCCAGGGGGGCCACAGCCGCACCAGCTCCCCGACACCCCCTTCCTCCGCAGGTGGAGCCCCCTGCCTCCCTGGCTGGCTGTTTTGCACACTTCCTGCTTTTGTTCCCACTTCCTGTCTAGGCAGGATCCTAGCAGAGGGAGGACTTCTGGGGTGAGAAGGACCAAGCTGAGATGGGTTGGTGATGTCAGGGGACAGAGGCCACTCCAGTGGAGTTGCATCCGGCTTTCCTCCAGTGGGTGGCAAGGGGAGGCTCCAGACAGCCTGCTTCTGCTGATCGTTGGAGTGTTTTGTGGATGATTTGTGTGTCGCAGCACACACATTCCCCACAGAGCTAGTTAGAGGGCCTTCTGGAACCTGAGGGTTGTGTTCCTCTCCTGTGTGCCATCGCTGTCTCCTTTATACTCTTCTCTGGTTCCTTCTCTCTTCCCCGCAGGCTCTGGCGGCTCTTTCAATCTCTCAGGATCCGGAGACATGTTTCTGGGGATGCCCGGGCTCAACGGAGATTCCTATTCTGCTTCCCAGGTCAGATCCCGTCAGATAGACGCCTGTCCCAAACTTGTTTCCCGCTTTAGGATGTGGGACCGGAGGGGCTTCTCCCTGTCACACCTTCCTCCGTGTCCACAGGTAGAATCTCTCCGACACTCCATGGGGCCCGGCGGCTACGGGGATAACCTCGGGGGAGGCCAGATGTACAGCCCTCGGGACATGAGGGTGAGTGGACCCTGACACCGGCTCGCTGGCTGTCACTAAGATGGGGAGACTTTTACTTGGCACGTTGTCTCCATGTGGGGGTTTCCCACCAGGGGCCTACTCCTACTGTCTCTTCTCTTTTCCAGGCAAACGGCGGTTGGCAGGAGGCTGTGACCCCGTCCTCAGTGACATCCCCGACAGAGGGACCAGGAAGTGTTCACTCCGACACCTCCAACTGATCTTTCCCTCAGGGTCGCCGGGGTTGGGGGCTCTCACAAGGCAACTTGAAGAGGACACAGGCATCCAGAGGACCAGCCCCAGACAGGAGAAGCACAAGACAGGAGGGCGAATGGGGCGGTCCCCCCACCTCGACTGTCACTGCTGGGTGCTGACTACATGGCAGGGAGAATGGGACCCCGAGAGGGGAGTGGGGTCTGTCTTCCCCTTGTTTCCTTTCTCCAGTCTCCCTCGGCCTCTCTCCCCCACACACCCCTGTTTCTCGGACCCTTTTTCCTCGTGCCCCTCTCACGCCTTCGCTGCCTCACGCTCCCACATGCAGCTCTCCGCTTCCTTCTGCCCCCTCCCCACCCCACTCCTCCGCTCTGGAATCTGGAATCTGGAGACGTCAGCCCTGCCCGACCCAGAGATGCCAAAAATGGGGACTTGACTTCTGGACAGAGGACGCTGGGCCACGCCCCTGTGCACCCACCCCTGCCCCTCCAGACGGCTTTATTACCTCATACGCAGCTCATCTTAAACCAATAGAATCGCTCGGTGGACGAGAGTGTCTGACTCAGATATCTACCTCGGAGGGAGTTTCTGCTTCTTTAGGGAATTGTTGACTGGGCTTTGGGGTTGAAACATTTTTTTCTTTTTTTAAAGAAAAAGAAACCCTGGGATTCATCTGTGTTTTTTTTTTTTCTTTTTTATTTTTTTGTTCTTAATTTTTAATTTAGTTTGGGGAAGTAGGTTTGTGGTGTTTTTTTATAAACATACTGATTTTTTTTCTTGCTTTCCCGTATTAGAGGTGATAGCCAAAGGGGTTCTGGTAAGAGAAGGGGGAACCAAGGGAACTGGTGCAGAGGCCCGCCAGCTGCAGGCCTGACCACCAGGAAGTGATTTTGTGGGACACCAGGCCCTTCCCTCTGAAATCACTTCCGAGTCACTGGCCCGTGCTGCCAGTTTCCACTGCACTTGGGGAGGGGCTCGCCCCGCGGCGCCTTTCCCTTCTCTCCCACAACCCTTGGGCAGGGCTGGACTCTGAGGAATTGAAGATGCCGCCTTCCCTGTGTGACAAGTCTTTCAATCTTTTTTTTTTTTTTAACTACTATTTGCAGATTGGAGGAGAAAGAATGGGGAGGGGAGTCTTGCCAAATACGTTAAATATGGGTTGGGTGCTTATTATATATGTATCTCCCTCAGTTTCCCCAGAAATGAGGCAGTTTTAAATTTTTTCTCCTAAATCAAGGAAGTGGGTGGAGGAGGGAGATTGCAAAAAGCCAGATATGGGGAAGGCAAGAACACTGTCCCAGCCTCGCCCCGAACCCCATCTGATCCCCTCAGTCACCTTCAGGATTTTACGAGACTGTCAGTGGGGATTCCCTCCCCTTGCAGGGGCGGGCAGGATTAGGGGACAGCTTGGGAACGTGACGGGTGGGGGGTGGGAGGTGCGGGCCAGGGGCAGTTCTCTCCTCACTTGTAAACTTGTAGTTTCACAGAAAAAAACAAACAATGCAGTTTTAAATAAAGAAATTTCTTTTTTCCCTGGGTTTAGTTGAGAATTTTTTTCAAAAATGTGAGAAATCCCTAGAAAGTAAAAAGTTGTTTTCCTCTCCCAGATGCCCAGCAGGTCTCTCCCCGCCCCATCTTGACCACACAGGCTCCTTGTCCACCCCTGCAGATAGCTTGGCCCGAAGCCCACTGCCTGGCAACCTCGCTGCCCAGGCAAGACGGGGCTGGTGCAGGCAGGGTATGGGGGGAGTGAGACCCTCGGAGGTGCCCCCAGGAAGTGGCTGTGCCCGGAGACTGGCAGTGCCCCGGGGTGGGGTGAGAATTGCTTCTAGCACCTGAAGGGCTCTTGTGAAAGAGGCATGAATTCCTAGCATTCCCTGTGCCAGGACAAGTCGGAGCTGGGGCCAGGGGAGAGGGGACAGGCCCCACCTAGGGCAGTGGCCGCAGCAAGGGAAGGGGCAGACAGAGCCAGGAGCCTGGGCAGCAAGCAGGATGGCAGCACGGGCAGCGGCTGGAGCCTGGGTGCTGGTCCTCAGTCTGTGGGGTGAGCGCTCCCTGCCCGACCAACCCTCCCTGCAGAAAGCGTCCCACCCCCGCTGCCCAGCGCCTCTGCCCCCGGCCTGTCTCCCCAGAATTCCCCTAGAACCTGGGCACTGCTCTTCAAGCTCCCTCACCCACACTTTCCTGAGCCCCTGGCTCCCTTCTGCCCCCTGCCTTGGTGGTGTCTCTCAGGGGCAGCAGCCGTAGTAGGCAGTCAGAACGTCACGGCCCGGATCGGGGAGCCGCTGGTGCTGAACTGTAAGGGGGCCCCTAAGAAACCACCCCAGCAGCTGGAATGGAAACTGGTAAGCAGGCTCCTCGGCCTCCCAGCTCCCAGAGACAGGTGACAGTTGGCACCGCGCTGCCCTGGTCGCCAGCCCTTTCTCGGCGGACTCGGGCTGCTCAGGCTCTCCTCTGTCCCCAGAACACAGGCCGCACGGAAGCGTGGAAGGTCCTCTCTCCCGAGGGAGCTCCCTGGGACAGCGTGGCTCGCGTCCTCCCCAATGGCTCCCTCCTCCTTCCGGCTGTTGGGATCCAGGATGAGGGGACCTTCCGCTGCCGGGCAACGAATAGGCACGGAAAGGAGAGCAAGTCCAGTTACCGGGTCCGAGTCTACCGTAAGGCTCCTCCCCCCGCCCTCGACTCCTGGCCCCGGGCGTGTGAGGACCTCTGGCTTCTCCTGTCCCCATTCCCATACCCGGGATGCGCACTTTCAAAGCAGCAGCACCCTTCAGAGATTGGACTTTTCCCTCCTTCAGAGATTCCTGGCAAGCCAGAAATTGTAGATCCTGCCTCAGAACTCACGGCTGGTGTCCCCAATAAGGTAGTGGAAGAAAATGGAGGAACAGAAAGTCGTCCCGTGAATGTGGCTGTACGCCTGGTAGCTCAGGTTTTCAAAGGACGATGAGCTCACCACTCTTCCCCAGGTGGGGACGTGTGTGTCTGAGGGAGGCTACCCTGCAGGGACGCTTAGCTGGCACTTGGACGGGAAGCCCCTGACACCTGATGGGAAAGGTGAGTCCCAAAGCGCCCCCCACGCCGGCTGCCTCCTTCCCGATCTCCCACACCTGCCTGGGCTGTCTTCCCTTGTCCCCCCACCACAGGGGTGGCGGTGAAAGAACAGACCAGGAGACACCCGGAGACAGGGCTCTTCACTCTGCAGTCAGAGCTGGTGGTGACCCCGGCCCGAGGAGGGGCCGCGCACCCCACCTTCTCCTGCAGCTTCAGCCCAGGCCTTCCCAGGCGAAAGGCCGTCCACGCGGCCCCCATCCACCCCAGCGTGTGGGGTGAGCAAGGGGTTGGAGAGCCCCAAGTGCGGGCGGAACTATGATCCTCAGAGGCGGGGGTCACGCCCACAGCCGCTGGGGCCACTCGGTCTCACCTCCCCGTCCCCAGAGCCCGTCTCCCTGGAGAACGTGCAGCTGCTGGTGGAGCCAGAAGGCGGAACAGTAGCTCCCGGAGGGACGGTGACCCTGACGTGTGAAGCCCCTGCCCAGCCCGCTCCCGAAATCCACTGGATGAAGGACGTGAGTGGCTGGAGGGGCGGGAGGCGGAGGGCGCCCTAACTGGTAAGGGGCAGAGGAGCAGAGGCTAACGGAGGGGTAGGTGGGCGAGGCGCTGAGCATCTGAGGCTGTGCAGACAAAGGCGAGGGGCCAGTGCTCCAGGGCTTCATGAAGGCCTCCTCCTCCCCCTCCAGGGGATGCCCCTGCCCCTTCCCCCCAGCCCTGTGCTGCTCCTCCCTGAGGTGGGGCCTCAAGACCAGGGGAGCTACAGCTGTGTGGCCACCATTCCCAGCCACGGATCCCAGGAAAGCCCTGCTGTCACTGTCAGCATCGCAGGTGAGCGCTCTCCCACGCCCAGGGGCCCCGGGCTGGGCTGAGGACACAGCAGGCGCACCCCCTGCCCCCGCTGACCACCTCCCCAAGTCAGCCCCACCCAGGCCTCCTGCGCCCACCGGCACCAGCCCAGCCTCAGAAAAGGAAAGGCGGCACCGGGGGTCCCACCACACTGCCTTTCCCAAGCTCAAGCCCTTTTTTCCCTTCTGACTTGTTCCAAATTTGTCTTCCAGAAACAGATGAGGGGCAAAGCACAGGTGAGACTGGCTTAGTGAGAGCAGCAGACAGCCCCAGCCCATGCAGCCGCATCAACAAGAAGGGGTGGTGCGCGGAGAGGCTGCGTCCTCAGCTCCCCATCTCCCTGCAGGCTCCACGGGAGGCTCAGGCCTGGGAACTCTCGCCCTGGCCTTGGGCACCCTGGCAGCCCTGGGGATAGCTGCCCTGCTCGTTGGGGTCATCGCGTGGCAAAGGAGGAGACGCCAAGGAAAGGAGCGGTGAGTGAGGAAAGCCAGACACCTCGGACTTGGGGCCTTCAGGCAGCAAAGGGGGCCGGGTCAGAGGAGCGCTAGGAGCCACGTGGAGTTCTCCCCACTCCTCCTCAGGAAGGCCCCGGAGAGCCAGGAGGAGGAGGAGGAGCGCGCAGAGCTGAATCAGTCAGAGGAGCCCGAGACAGCTGAGCGCGGCACAGGAGGGCCATGAGGGCCCGGACAGGCCTGGCCGTCGGCCCCCTCGCCCTCGCCCGTGCCCTCCCGCTGAACCGCACCGACCCCAGACCAGCTCTCCTGTCATCTCCGCCCCACCTCGCCACACTGCCTTCCACAACCAGAGCCCTTCGTGAAGGGACCGTGCTGAGTAGACACCGGACACATCTTGCCCGTGTGCACGGTGTGTGTGTGTGTGTGTGTGTGTGTGTGTGAGAGAGAGAGAGAGAGAGAGAGAGAGAGAGAAACTCACCCACTGCACCCCTGAAAACTGCAAAGGAGAGGGGCTCATCCCATATTCACATCTACGCAGCTTGGGGAGATTAGGCTTCTGTTCTGGAAAGAACTCGGAAAAGTCCTTGTCAATACATTTCACCTTTTTATTGAATTTGTAATAAAGGAGGTAGTGGGAAGGGTGAACACTTAGAATCAAAACCCATATTAGATACTGGGGCAAGAAAAATTAAATTAAACCAACGGGAAGAGGAGGAGGGAGAGTCAGAGGGAACCGTGCCCACCTTTCAACATCAAATCAAGAAACCGAGGGAAAGCGAAGCATTAGGGAAGGAGAAGCAGACACTCTTCCGTCTGTCCTCCCCGCCCGGGCCCGGGGTCCCCACCAGCAGTTCAGAGCAAGGGGCTCTCTCATCCTGTGCGCAGCTGTCACTCCTCCTCCCCACGCCCTCCCGGGAGTGACCAGGGTTAGCCTTGGCCAACGAAAAGAAGGGCTGGGGACGGGGGTCCAGAAGTAAGGAAGGGTCAGCAGAGACCCCCAATACTGATTCTCCTCTGGCTGGAGGTGGGCAGGAAGGAGACACAGCTCAAATACTGAGCAGCCAGAAAAAGAAGAAGATGGCGAGAAACAGGAAGAGGGAATCCTGCCAGCTGGAGGCTGGGTGACCCTGTCCCAGATCCACACCTGTGGGGGAGAAAGACAGTTGCCGAGGCGTACAGTCCTCGGCCAGGAGGGGCGCTGGGAGACTGAGAGGGGCCTCCGGTAGGAGCTCAGGGAGGACTCTCACCTGCACCCCTGCGGAAAGGCTCGTGGGTATTGAAGACGGTGGTGAAAAAGCCGAAGGGGAAAGCACCAACACCGAAGGAGAAGTGGAAGCCCCCGGTATCGCCAAATGGCTGGAAGCCCTAGGGAGGTGGAAAAAGTCAGGCATGACATCCGGCATGTCACGGTCAAGGAAGAGACACAGCGAGGCAAGAACTCACCCCTCTGCTCTCTGGAGCTGGTCGCTGGCCCTGGGGTCGGGGTGGAGTTTTCAATCTGAGGGCCAAAGACAGGGACTATTAACACGGGCCCTTCTCTCCTCCTCCTGGAGCAGATTCCTTCAACCCTCCCTCAGCACCACCGCCAGTCTCTTACCTGGGGTCCTGGGGCTTCTGGCTCCCTCGCCCGTAGAGCGGGACAACCTTCTCTCTGCTGATGCCGGCTTTGCACACTGGGCATTCTTGCCGGTCTGGCCGCGTCTCCAGCCACTGGGGAGAAAAAGATAAAATGGTTTCAAAAGCACAGAAGGGCCTTCTCTCACCTCAGATCTCCCCGTCCCTCTCTTCGCCTCCCGGGTACAAACCTGATGCAGACAGGGCCAACTGGATGGGAGGCAAAAAAAGAAAAAAAAAAAAGTTAAACTAGCTACAGAAAAGAGAGGCACAGATCTCAGACTTAACCTCACCTCACCTCTCTCCCCGGGTACTGTATCATCTGCTATTCCTTTTTGTATTTTCCACAACCTCTACCGCGCCAGCCAACTTGGCCTTCCTGCCTCTCTGAGCTTGCGAGACCTAAAGCTCCATCCATCCTCAACACACTCAGCCCTCTCCTCTCTCCTCTTGCCTCACACACACAAATTCTCCTCCCCTCCCTCTCTGCCTTCCAACTGAAATTCCAGTCATTCTCAACCCACCCCTCTCCAGGTCTCTTTCAGCCTCAGCCCTATTCTCACCCCCATTTCCCCAAAGCAAGCCTTCCGTCCCGGCACATTCTCCGCGGCGCCTCTTCCAGCGTATTAAAGTCCCGATTTCCGCAACCCTTTCACCTCTCGACTTTGTCCCTCCACGGGGCCCTTATCCAGTCTGTCCCTATTACCCCCGCCCCATCTCGCTCGTGTGGGAGCCCATGTTCCCTGGGTCTCCCCTGCTCACCTGATGAGAGCCTCTCCTAATCTTTGAGATTCACCCGTTCTACGTGCACAGGTAAGAAACTCTAACTTCCCTGGAGTAAGCTGGTTCGGGTCTCACCCGTACAGATGCGCGGTGCCCCCTTATTCTCCGTCCCTTCTCCTCCTTGTAACACACCGCACACGAACCACCTCCTAATTCCTAAGACCCTCGCTTCCACACATCTGCACGGACGTGATCCACCCACCCACACGTACCAGAGAGACACACACACCTCCTTTCCTCGGGCGTCCCGATTACCTGTATGACCGTACGGTCCCCCGCTCCTGGCGTCCCCAGGACAGAGATGAACCCCACCGCTTTCTGCCCCCGTCCCAGATTCTCACCAGTACAGGTGGCCACACACACTGACCACCGCTTCCCGAGCAGTCTCCAAACATATATTACATTCGAAGGTCGCACCCGCCCCACCCCGCTCGCGGTTTGGCCCTTTGGGGCCCCCGTCCTCCTCCTCTGCTGCTGCCATGGCCGGTTCGTCTCGCCCCCACGTACCCCTCAGTCCCCCAAACACACATACACACGCCCCAACAAACGAGAGACCGCCCCTTGCCCACGATCATTGGGTAGGCTTCAAGGTTTTCTAGGTTCTATTGGTCTGAATACATGCCAATCATGTGGTATTCTAAAGAAAGGATTGGTCAAAAGGATGAGGGCGGGAAAAAGCTTGCGCGGCCCCGCCCTTGCACAATAGCTATTGGCTGATACAGCCACACTCTGCGCTTTCCTTCACTTCCTCTTTCGAAGACTGTCCGGATTCTTATTGGACTTTGGAGCGTAGAGCTCCAGAGCAAGCGATTGGCTGGAACTCCACGGAAAATGGTGGTTAGATAAAACACGCCTGCGCGGCACGCAGTGGGATTGGGTAGGCCGATACGAAGGTTGACCCTGCTCTAATCCCACCCCTGCACCGCGGTCTTGTCGCCATGGTGACTACAATCGGCGGGGCGCGCGGTTCAAAGGCCCGGGTCTGGACTCATCCGGGTCCTCTGGCTGTGGCCTCTTAGCTGATTGGGCTGTTTCCTTCACCTCTGATTGGCCGAGAGCGGGAAAGACGGCGCAAGGCTCGGAAAAAGGAGCAGAAATACTAGGGTCTCGGGGTTCAAGATGGCTCCGGCCTTCTTAGGTGACGTAGAGCACAGAACCTGGGGCCTCCCCTCCCTTTTAGTGAAGAGGGAGCGGAACGGGGCTTAGCCCGACGTCTGGATGGTGCGAGCATCGACCTGCGGCGCTGGTTTTAACCCGCCCTCTCGGCTGGACAACTCAGCCCGCTCCTGTAGGTAGCTGAGCAGGACTGAACGGCCGGCCTGCCCGCCCACTTGTTAACGTGGAGGCTCCGTGCTGAACTGTCGGAGCAGAGGTCTGCCCCCCCCCCTTTATGGGGTGCAGAGTGGGCAAGGCCCTGCCCTTTTGAAGAGTAGGCTTAGTTCCGCCCCTTCTTGTAATCTGCCCAGTAGAACTGGGGTCTTCCAGGACTCGACCCCTCGTCGTTTTGGCCTTTCCTACAGTCGGTGACCCTCCCTGCGGTTCAGGGATCAGAACTGGGTGACCGTCTCCCACTGCCAACCTTCTTCCCATCCTCTTCACCAGGGTGTGTAAACTCATGCAGGGCAAAGGTGTGTCTAGGGCGGGAGGTTGCCACAGGCTGAAGGATGCTTAGCAACACCCTGACACAAGGTCCCGTGGCATCCCCATGGATGCCCCCAGTTCCTTTTCCTGCCCTTTGGCCCCGCAGGACTTCGGGGGGCGGCGAGAAGGCCAGCGGAAATGCTTCCTAGATGAAGCCAGGCGCAGTGGTGCAAGCCTGAAATCCCAGCAGTCAGGAGGCTGAGGCAGGAGGACCTCCTGGTGTTCGAGGCCAGCCTGGGCTACATAGTGAGTTCAAGGCCAACCTGAACTACACAGCGAGATGTTGTCTTGAGGAAAAAAAAATAAAAGAAAACTAAGAGACGATGAGAAATGGGGAGTTGTGTAGAGGACAGGGGTTGTAAAAGTCAAGGAGGGTTAGGAAGGAAGGTGCTGAAAGAGACATGGAGAACAAGGAGGGAGGAGCGGGTAAAGGGATCATGGGAATATGGAAAAGGACAGCAGGGACTGCAGAGCTGGATACAGGGCTACGAAATTGAGGGAGCAATCATCCGAGGAATCAGCACGCGCGAGTGTGCGCGCACACCCACCCACACACCCGAGCAATGCCTTAATGCCCCATTTCCATCGCAAGACAAGGTCCTGTGTTGGGGAGAGGGGTTGCTTCAGCGTGAGTAAGGAGGCTGATAAGGAAGAACTGGGAAAGCAGGGGAGGAAGGGAATGGAGCGGGACAGAGAGGGTGAGTGGAGGAGGGAGGCGGGCTGCCGGGCCGGGGTGGGAGGAGGTACAAAGGGCAGCGGGATCAGAGCAGAAGGCTGGAGGGCGAGGAGGGGAGAGATGCAGCCCTGAGGGAGAAAAGAGGTGAGCCTCCTCTTGGAATGTAGTAGGTGCTTGATAAACGGAATCGAATGGGAGGGCAAGAAAAGGTCTTGAAGAGTTGGAGCTGAGCAGAGTAAGCACCGATCCTGGAGTTAGGGAGAAAGGCAGAAATCAGAAGGGGACGGAGGAAACGTGGCAGTGTGGGGAGAGCTGGAATGGGGGGAGAGAGTGGCCGAGGGAGGAAGACGGCGGCGGCAGGGGCTTCACGGGCGTTTGTACTAAAAGGGTTTGGAGGGAAAAAAGATGCACCTGGAGCCGGAGGCCGAATAGAGCGGAGCTCTCCTGGGGCGGAGCCAGCAAGAGGATGCTGGTGAATGTAGGGAGGAGACGCCGGGGTCTCTAAGAGGCGATTGGCAAAGCCGGCCGCCCATCACCGCCCCCCACTTCCTGGCCAGCCCCGGAAACCAGCGGCCCCGGGGAGGGGTGGGGGACATAGCGGCGGCGGCAGCCCCAGCCCTCCGAGAGACCGCGGGAAGGGAGGGCGGGCGGGAGGGTGCCGGGGGGACGGCCCCCCGCCGTTCCGACCGCTGTGGGCCTAGCCTCCCGCTCCCACCTCCCTTCCATCGGCCGGGGCTAGGATACCCCCAAATCCTGTCGCCCCCTTGGCACCGACACCCCGACAGAGACAGAGACACAGCCTGCCGCCACCGCCGCTGCCGCAGCCTGGCTGGGGAGGGGGCCGGCCCCCCAGGCCCCCCACCCCTCTGAGGTGGGGGCGGGAAGGGGTGGGGGCGGCGGGAGGAGGGCGCCGAGCGGGACGCGGACGCGGACGCGGACGCGTTGAGACCGGGGCTGGGAGGGCGGCGGGGCGCGGGGTGCTGGGGAGAGGCGAGGGGGCCGCGGGGAGATTGGAAGAGCCCGGACGGAGGAGAGCTGGAAACTCTGACGTGGGGCCCCGGGTGTGGACGAGGAGTCTGGGAGAGGGAATTCCCCATGGATGCCCCCAGTTCCTTTTCCTGCCCTTTGGCCCCGCAGGACTTCGGGGGGCGGCGAGAAGGCCGGCAGAAATGCTTCCTAGGAATGCCCTCGGGCCCCCCTTTCTCTGTAGGCACAGAACCTCGTATTTCTCAGGGGCCTTCCCCGAGACCCTTACTGCGGGGCGTCTCGATGCCGTGTGGGGGGCTGTGTTTTCTATCCTGACTCTGCCTTTGACGCGTTAATGGCTTGCGTGCAGCTAGCTGGCCCCTGTGTTCTGCATAGGCTGCAGGAAAATGCTTTTTTTTCTTTCAGAATTGCCCATTCTCGTGTCTTGTGTCCATATCTCACATGTAGTTTGGAGGTGTTCGAGGACCGCATGTGTTTTGTTTTGTTTTTTTATTGTACCTATTATGTGGTTTCACATGGGCCCTCTTTTTGCATGTTGATTTCGTGGCGTAAAGCTTACATACCTGGTTTGTTTAGGGCTCACATGTGACGGCCGTGGCCCGGCTGTGTGCAGCTGGCCCGTGTGGGGTCCCCTGCCTGGCGCAGTGGACCAGCCACACGGTGTTCTCACCTGCAGATTGGACCGGCCTGTTCTCCTTAGGGTTCTCACCCCGTGTGTGTGCACAAGAAGCCTCCCAGGAAGCGCTGGTGCCATCTATCCACAGCTCCCGTGCTTCTGGTCACACCTACCATTCATTTCATACATTCATTATCAGCATAGCCTAGTTGGCATTTCATTGTGTTCAGAAACCCTTGGATGTCTCTGTCTGATTGTGTCACTTAGTGTCACATGTTAGAGAAGGTAACCTGGTCTCCAAGGCCCCTAGGTTCCATCCTGGCGTGCCTCACCTCCCTGAGCTCTGTGTAGTTGGGTGTGGACCTCTGCCTGTCAGGGTGTCTGTCGGCCCTGCTGTGAGCCCTGTGACATCACACCCCATTGCGCTGTTGGCCGGTATTTGATGCCAGCAGTGTCTTCCCTTGGTGGCACCTTGTTCCCACCCGGTCTTGAAAGAGGACATCTTCGTGACTGTCGCTCTGCCTTACCTGTGGCCGTGCATATGTGTGTTCAGAATAGGTTGAGCAAACACATCTTTTCTTAGTGACTTTTGTTTTTCTTTTTTTTTGTTTTTGTTTTTGTTTTTGTTTTTTTTTTGAGACAGGGTCTCGCTATGCTGGCCTTGAGCTCACTTTGTAGCTCAGGCTGGCCTCGAACTTGCAACGATCCTCCTGCCTCAGCCTCCCAAGTGCTGGTATTACAGGTGTGCACCACCCACGCCTAGCTTCTTAGTGACTTTAGTTTTCACAGTTAATATTCTTCCAGAGGATAGCTGTCTGATTCATGATCAGAACCGCTACCTGTCATTAATTACGGCTATGGGTGTGTATACAGCTTTGTAATCTGTTCAGTCAGTGTTTATTGAGCTCCTGGTCTACCTTCTCCTGGCCCTGCAAGAAAGACAGAGCCCCTGTCCTCGAGCTGCACACCACTCGGCAGCCTGGAGCAGGGTGCTGGCGAGCAGGCACACGCTGTGGGGTGCTGTTGTTGTCAGCACTTCTCAAACCTGAGTTCGGACCACGCTTACCTGGAGAGCTGGTTAAAATACAGGCTGCTTGGACCAGTGCCCAGAATTTCTGATTGAGGATATCTGGGTGTGAGGTCCAAGAATTTGTATTTCCACATCCTCAGAACCACTGATCAAGACAGAAATTGTAGGCTGGGGATTTAGCTCAGCGGCACAGCACCTGCCTGGCAAGCGCGAGGTTGTGAGTTCGATCCCCAGTTCTGAAAAAAAAAAAAAAAGACAGAAATTGTAATGAAAGCACAGGCGTGCTGGGGCCCAGACCTGGGCTGTGTGTAGCAGGAAGAGAGGCACTGGGAGTGTCCCCGCCCAAGGAAGGAGCGCGGCCAGCGGGTCGCAAGGCAGCGTGAAAGCTCACAGTGCACCTGAGGAATTGAAGTAAATCAGCTCGGTAGAGCAGGAAGGGAAGTGGCTGGAGATGTGAGCAGAAGTTAGCTGGTCAGAAAGGGCCTTGAGTCGAGACAGGAAACGCTGGGGTTTGTGAGAAGCAGCTCCAGGCGCCTCCTCGCGAAGCGGGGATGAGGCAGAAAGCATGGCACCTGTTTCTCCCCTGCCTCTTCCTTTACCCCTCACCTCTTACAGGCCTTTGTCCTAGTAGGGAGTCTCATCCTGATAGGTCACCATTGTCAACTGTGACCCTGTCCCCAGAAGTGGAGCAGAATGGAGGAAGGAGGCAGAACCTGGAGGGCAGGTTCTGCATGCCCGCACCTTTTCTCGGCGTTTCCTTTCCCGGAGCCGGTGGTGTGATGTTCCTTTCCCTCTCTGCCTCCTCTTCCTCATATGAGGAGGCCTTACCCCTGCTGCCTGCGCACATGGCCACCGTGTGGCTGGGAGCACGGTGGGGTTGGCTTGCCTGTCTGCAGAAATAGGATTGGTGTGCGTGGGGGGGTAATCCGAGAGTGGAAGAGGCTGCCTTGGGGAGAAAGGTATTTTGTAGGTACGTGTTTACGTTCCTCTGTCTGTCACCATTGATAAATTGTGTGTTGTGTGTGTGTGAGAACCTTTGTCAGTCTCTGCATCACTGTGTGTGTGTGTGTGTGTGTGTGTGTGTGTGTGTGTCTGTTTGCCTGAACACTGGGAGCTTTAATCTTGCCACGTTTCCTCGGGCGTTTTGTCACTGCCAGTATATCTACCGTGTGTGCGTATTTATACACACACGCAGGAGACAGCATCAGCGAGGGCTTAGGAGCCCAGGCTGCTTAGGTTTAATCTAGAAACTGCTGCTTAGGAGCTGTATAACCTCAGGTAAGTTCCTTAATCTGCCTGAGCATATTTCCTGTAAAACAAATACTAATAATACTTTTAATAGATTATCGTGTGGATTGTACATAAGGGTTTAACGTACAGATAGGGGCTGGGGATTTAGCTCAGCGGCAAAAGCACCTGCCTGGCAAGTGCAAGGTCGTGAGTTCGGTTCGCGGTACCGGAGGGAAAAAAAAAAAAAAAAGTAGAGATAGATGGACCAGCACTACCCAGTAGAAACAGAAAGTGAGCCTTATAATTTTTAGTTTTCTGATAACTACACTGAGAAGGGTAAGGAAGAAGCAATGAAATTAATCTTAATAATATACTTTATGGAACCCAATATATCCAAAAGAAATCAACACAAAAGATTATTAGTAGGATACTTTTTTTTTTTTTTTCTGTCTTTTTGAGACAGGATCTCGCTATGCAGTTCAGGCTGGCCTTGAGCTCACTTTATAGCCCAGGCTGGCCTCGAACTCAACAGTCCTCCTGCCTCAGCCTCTTGAGTGCTGGGATTACGGGGGTGTGGTACCACCACGCCTAGCTAGTAGAATACACTATGGTTTTGTTTTTCACCCAGTGTTTGAAATCTGATGTGTATTTTACATATCCTGCATATCTCTGTCGACCAGCCATATTTCAGGTGCTCGGTAGTCGCATTTGGCTGGTAGCCACTGTCTGTGGACTGTTGTAATACCCTTTGTAGGTGCAGTTATTCGCCGTTGTTGCTTGTGTTGTGTTATCCTGTGCCTGCAAGTTGCTGGTGTTTTGCACTTGGTTCTGTTACCACTGAATGTATGGGGAATCCCCAGGGAGATGGGGTAGGATGTCCTGAGCCCCTCATCCTACAGGGGCTTCCTAGGAAGGTTTCAGGGAAAACCCAGCCCCAGCCTGCATCGCTGCCCTGCGCCGCTTGCCTCACCCTCCCACTGCTGTTAGAAACCAGGCCTGGGTCCTGTGCTCCCCGCCAGGTGGCCAGGATGGAGCTGTGGCCGGGGGCATGGACGGTGCTGCTGCTGCTGCTGCTGCTCTTGCTGCCCACCCTGTGGTTCTGCGCCCCCAGTGCCAAGTACTTCTTCAAGATGGCCTTTTACAACGGCTGGATCCTCTTCCTGGCCGTGCTCGCCATCCCTGTGTGCGCCGTGCGAGGACGCAACGTTGAGAACATGAAGTGAGGGGCGAGGGGTGTGGGCGGTGAGGGGACCTGAGGGTGCGGGTGTGGCCGGTTTGTGAGCGAGCGGCCTGGTGCATGCAGAGGAGACCGAAGGAGCCCAGGGCCGCGAAGGCGGGAGGGCTGCAGAAATGCCCAGGACGGCCAGGTGGGGCGGGGGGTGTCTGCAGTGGGCGTCAGTGGATCCCACTGGGCCCCCTTGTTGCGGTCCCACAGGATCTTGCGTCTAATGCTGCTCCACGTCAAATACCTGTATGGGATCCGAGTAGAGGTGCGAGGGACTCAACACTTCCCTCCCTCGCAGCCCTATGTCGTGGTCTCCAACCACCAGAGCTCCCTCGACCTGCTTGGTGAGACCCCACCATGGGCACAGGTCCCCGTCTACACCCCCCTCGGCACTTCCCGAGGCCCTCTGCTCCCTCTGCTGTGAGACGTCTCCCCGGCTCCCCCTCAGGGAGGCCCGCCCGCGTTTAGCAGGGTTCCTGTGTCTTCAGTCACCCCTGCTTTTACTTGGGGCTCCTTCAACCCCGTGTGTCCCTTTATCTCCAGTCCCTGCCAGTGTGGGAGATGCCTCTGTGGGATAACTGTGTCGCCATTCTAATCTTTACCCCACCTCCACCCCTGCCCAAGGGATGATGGAGGTCCTGCCAGGCCGCTGCGTGCCCATTGCCAAGCGCGAGCTGCTGTGGGCGGGCTCCGCCGGGCTGGCCTGCTGGCTGGCCGGAGTCATCTTCATCGACCGGAAGCGCACAGGGGACGCCATCAGTGTCATGTCCGAGGTTGCCCAGACCCTGCTTACCCAGGACGTGAGTCACCGCGGGAGGGCGCGTGGGGGTTGAGGCGGGGGAATGGTCGTGTTAAGTGGGCCAAATCCGCGCGCTCCGACCCCTCCGCATGTGAGAGTCTGTGCTCTTTCTCCTCCAGGTGAGAGTGTGGGTTTTTCCTGAAGGGACGAGAAACCACAACGGCTCCATGCTGCCCTTCAAACGCGGCGCCTTCCACCTCGCAGTACAGGCCCAGGTGACTGCTGCTCCCTCTGCAGCCCGGCCCGGCCTTCCCTGCCTTCCTCTCCCAGCCGGGGCCTGGTCTCAGAGGACAGCTGTGGACTGAGCGGCTCTCTCTCCCACAGGTTCCCATCGTGCCCATCGTCATGTCCTCCTACCGCGACTTCTACTGCAAGAAAGAGCGCCGCTTCACCTCAGGTGAGGCTGTGAGCGCGCGTGGGCCGGCATGCCCGGAGCGGCCGGGGGAGGTCCCTGTGAGGCAGCGGTCGTTCGGGGAGACGTGTATACCATCATCAAGTATGGCCCCCCGGCAGGCGCTAAGCACTCACTAGGCGCCTCGTGCCCCCTGCTGGGCGGGTAGAACTTGGTCTTTCCAGGAGGGGCTGGCACAGTGGCACAGGAGAGGTGAGTCCTGTGTGCAGAGCTCTAACGAGTGACACTCAGCAAGCAGCGCTGCGCCAGGGAGTGCGGGCCCGTGGGGGTCTGCGCTGGGCTGGGGAGCTTTGGGCAGCGGGCTCCCAGAGGGGCAGTGACCCAGTGTCGGGGAAGAGACCTGAGGGGTTGAAGGGAACAGCGGGAAGAGGCCGGAGGAGCGGGCTGTGATGGTGCCTCTCCCCACGCCAGGGCGGTGTCAGGTGCGGGTGCTGCCCCCAGTGCCCACAGAAGGGCTGGCACCGGATGACGTCCCCGCTCTGGCTGACAGAGTCCGGCACTCCATGCTCACCGTCTTCCGGGAAATCTCCACCGATGGCCGGGGAGGTGGCGACTGTCTGAAGAAGCCCGGGGGGTTGGGCGAGGCCCAGCTCTGAGCTCCCCATCTGTCCCCCTCTTCCTCCTCACACCCACCGACCCGGTGGCCCTGGGGAGGTCACCCCTCCTCCACTCATGCTCCCCCTCCTCTTTCAATCTTCAACGTCGGAGTGAACGTGGACACCGTAGTCCTCCCCGCCCCCGCCCCCGCCCCAGGGACTCTCCTGCCTTGCTCAGTGTCCGCTGAGCCCCCCCTCCTGCCATCTTGTCTGTGACGTTGCCTCCCCCTCACTTGAGTGGCCCTTCCGACACGAGAGTGGGGGCCGTTCCATCTCTTCCCATCCCCGGTGGACTCTCCCTTTGCGTTCTCTCCCTCTCCGCTCCACGTTGGCCAGTGGACTCGTTCTGTGGAACAATCCACCCCTTTCCCCCAAGTCCACGGATTCAGTAGACTCATCCACTTGGGAGGAGGACGTCTCGCCCTGTGGCTGGAAGCTGATACCAGGAGCGCAGCGCCCAGGCTCCTCCTGGGAACCTGCCTCAGCACCTTCACACTCCCTGCCGGTGGGGTGGACTCTTCTAACTCAGAGGTCTCATCCCTGCCCTTGCCCAGACGCCCAGGGTCGAGCACACTCCTGGCTGCCAGTTCGGTCTCCAAGTTCCTGCTTCCTCGGTCCCGTGGTACAATTCTTCAGCGGTCCGGACCCACCCAGCCCCCGGCACCATCCTAACCAGACCGTGGGGGAGGAGGCAGACCTTAGGTGCTGTGCTCACTGCTCCCTGGGGAGTTGGGGAAGGAACTGGACCTGGCTGGAGGGGAGAGGAGGGCATTTAATTTATTTCTCTTTGTTTTGAGGCTTTCCCGCTCCGAGCTGGTTTTCATTTCCCAGAAGTGGCATTGGCCGCTCCCTGCCTCCCACTCCAGACCTGTTCCCACCACTGGGGAGGTGGGCTGGGAGCAAGAGGGTGGGACCCAGTTTTGTGTGGTTGGTTTTTATTAATTATCTGGATAACAGCAAGCAAGTGAGAATAAAGAGAGCGAAATGTGGGTGCCTTCTCGCCGGGTTTGTTAAGGCGCTGAAGAAGCAGACCTGGCCCGGACAGCCTGCCCCGGGGAGCCGACCGGCTGCCAGCATCGCTGGGGCTCTTTGTTCCCTGATCCGGATAGCCTTATCTGCAGCGCCAGTTGGCCAATCCCAGAAGATTAGTCAAGCCGGTTTCTGTATAAATTAGGGCTGGGGTTAGCGAGGCTTTTCATCGATGGTTGAGACCAGGGCCCAGGCTGTTGTCCTCACAGGAGCCTGATTTGTAACAAGGAGATAGACAGACATGGAGCTGGCTGGGGGCCACGCCACCACCGCCCTCACCCAACAATAAGTGAGACTACTAGATGCGTGGCACAGGGTCCGGGAGGAGGAGGTCTGTAAAACGGAGAGAGCAGGGCGGGTCCCGGGGGCGGGGGTGAGCTGGAGCGGGGCAGCAGGACTCACAGGCGCCCAGCCTCTCCTCCAGCAGCAGCACCTGGTCGCTGAGAGAGTCGATCCTGTCGCCCTGGCCCCACAGCTCGGCCACCTTTTCCGGCTGCAGCTCTTCAGGCGGCATGGGCAGCACTGCACGGACCCAGGCCCCAGCCTGGGCGGCCCACTGGGAAGGCAGGAAAGCCTCAAGCTGTTGGCACAGCCACGCTGGCTCCCGGCCCTGGCCCTCCGGGCTCCGTCCGGCAGGAGCTCACCTGCTCCAGCCGTTGCAGGCGCCCTCGCAGCATGCCAACCTCCCGCCTCAGGGTGCCGTCCTCGGCTTCCTCCTCCGCTTCCCGAACTAGGGCAGCGCAGCACTGAGAGTGACCACTGCCCCGGCACCACTGGGCCCCGGCTTCCCCAGGCCGGCCCACACTCACCTGCCACGCTGAGGATGCTGGCGCTGGTCGGGCGCCCTGAGGAGCGCAGGGTGCATGTGAGCCCGTCCGAGCCCAGCACCTGGCCTCGGGGGCAGCTGCAGGTGAAGCTGCCCGCTGTGTTGAGACAGCTGTGCGAGCATGGGGAGATTCCGGGCCTGCACTCATCCACGTCTAATTATGGGAAAGAGGAGGGAGCGGCAGGTGGGGGGGGCCTCGCGCCCGGGGACCCTGCCGCCCTGCGCACCCCACTCACCCACGTGGCAGTGCTTGCCGCCCCAGCCTGGCGCGCACTCGCACTGGTCCGGCCCGACGCAGACGCCTCCATTCCGGCAGGGCTTGGTGCACACGGCTGCAGGGGGTTGGGCGGGCCGTTGGGACCTGGCCTAAGCGGCCACGGGATCCCCAGCGGCCCGCCTGCCGTCCCACCATCCGGCCGGAAGGCCTGGTCTCACCTTCACAGGTGAGCGCGCCTGGGTGTCGCTTCTTCCAGCCCTGGCAGCACACGGCATGGGTCTGCTGCACCTCCCGTCGGACCTCCCGCCAAGCCACGCGGTACGTGGTCCTAGAATGCAGGGCCCGGGTCAGGGCCGCAGGGCCGGGGTGGTGCAGGGTGTGGTTGAGGACTCCCGTGGCCCAGAGACCCGGGGGCCCAGCTCCCGGCCCTCACCTGTAGGTGCTGCAGATGCGCCTCCCGGCGCACAGGGTCAGGTAGGGCTTGTACACTGGCTGGCTGTAGGACTCGTTGTAGCGGAGCGGGACCACCAGCGTCTGCTTGGAGCAGACCCCCTGTCTGCATCCATATGGGAAGAGGAGGTGGGAGACACTGACGGTGCCAGGCCTTCGGAAGCCAGGGCCCCCGCTGCAAGCAGCCGTCCAGGCCCTGCCTCCTCCAACCCTCAAGGTCCGCCTCAGTGAAGCCCCGCCCTCCCACCAGGCCCAGCCCTCACAGTCACCTCTGCTTGAGGGGTCCGCCCGTGGCCCCCTCGCCGGACCGCACCAGCAGCAGGAGTGAAAGTCCGCGTAAGAGAGTCCGCAGCTCAGCCCAGGGCCCCATCACTGCCCTGACGGCAAGCCGACAGCTGCAGGCAGAGGTTAAGGACGCCCTTCCCCTCTGCTCCGCAGTCTCCAGCCGGCCCCTTCCACGAACACTGCTGGTTCCCGCTCCTAAGGGAGTCAGGACATTCACTCTTACACGCTGGCCACCAGGCACGTCCACCGCATGTACATAAAACTGACCCGTTCAGCATCCTGCAGGCTCGTACGCCAGCACGTCCCCTCCACACCCCACCCACTCCCAGGGCTCTGCTCACCCTGGAGGGGCTCACACATGCTTAATGCGCCTCGGCCCTCCGTAACATGCCCTTAGAACTTCATATTTCAAAGCCCCAGATAGCACTGGTAGAGCCTCACCAAACACCTAGCACCTCCCAACTCCTTTTTATTTTTTTGAGACAGGGTCTCACTGTGTAGTCCAGGCTGTGACATTAAACTCACAGTGATCCTTCTGCCTCAGCCTCCTGAGCACTGGGATCACTTACACTTTATACACTTTAAACAGCTTTCCACTGCCCTCTCACACCCATACCATCACATGCACCTTTGCTCACAGGACACTTCCCAGCCCACAGCCCCCCAAGGCTCTGAGCCACCCCCACTCCTCCCTGCACTGAGACTTTCTCCCCACCTGCTTCCTCCTCGCCTTCCCACCTGGCTCCCCTCTCTGCCGGGACACTTCAGGCAGCCGCCTCAGCAGCAGCAGCAGCTCCAGACTGCTGGGTGGGCGGTCCTGGGAACAGAGGAAGGGAGGGGCGGGCCACCCGGAGTCCTCCCGGTCCTGCCCCCTCCCACAGGCCTCCTCCTCAGCTCCAGCCTGGTGGGCTCAGTGGGGTCAAGCCCTATTACCCTCACCCCCGCCAGCAAAGGGCTCCCTGGAAGAATCTTCCCAGCTCTCAGAAACCTCAAATTCTGGACTCCACACATCAACAGGAGCTCGCAGCTGTAAATACCACCAGTACCCCCGAGCCTTCCCCGCCAGCACAGGCTGCAGGGCCGGCGGAGAGGCCAAGCAGGTCAGCATCTGGGGCAAGAGGCGAGATGAGCTGAGGAAAGAAAGATCCAGCGAATCTGCACAAAGGGCGGCGGGGGGCGGGCCAAGACTCCGAGGGGAAAATCGCCCCCATCTCTTGACAGCATTTGTTAGGGCTCGGGGAGCGTAAAGTTGAGTCAGGCACTGCCCCCCATGCCAGAGCAGACAGGGCCCTATTGTCTCCACCAAAATTCCTTCCTTCAAGGAAAAGGAGGCTCATTGTACAGCCCCTCACTCCGCTCTGGCCTACGAAGGTCGGGAAGGGGCACAACGAACGCCCACCCTGACCCTCGGCCCCCTCGTCTAGCCCGGGGGTGGCACACACATTCCACTGAGATGCTGAGGCCCAAACCAGCACAGCCTCGGGTTCAGCCCCCTAATCCTAGGCCGGGACAGGAAGAGAATTGTCTTCAGCAGGAAAGAACCCGCAGAGAATCAGGAACCTGCACAGAATGGGCATTGAGAGCACGGAAACACCACGGGCGTCCCCACCCCAGCCCGGGCCCCGGGGCCCTGAGCTCCCATCCCCGCCCACCTTGGGGAGCCCGGGGCCCCCTCCCCTGGAAATAAGCCAAACCACACTGAGGAAATGGACCTTTATTTCCATAAATATAGGAGAACACCCATTCAAGGGTTAAAAGAGGGGCTGGGGCCTCAAACTAGGCTCCCAGGGGGACCCCAACACTGATCAGAGGGACTGGGGGATCCCCAAACCTGAGATGGGCCTCACAGGCCACAGATATTCCCCAACACTGACACTTCGAGAACAGAACTGTCCCCATAGGGGAGCCTCAGAACCCCACGCTCACGGGCATTGCTCTAGGGGGCCGGGAGGGCTGACGACGAGGGAGTCCCCAGGACAAGGGACGTGGGGAGAAGCTAAAAATGTCCTGAGTGGCCCGGAAGGAGACCCTGTGGTACCAGGACAGGGCTGGGCCTCCTCCCGCACGGCCAGGTTGGAGGAGCAGCAGCAGCAGCAGGAGCAGCCACGAGTTACAAACCTGGTTCTCCCGTCCTGACCTCAGCCTTGGGAGAAAGGGGTGCAGGGAGCACCCCCCAAAACAGCGGACATGAGGTAGGCCGCCAGGAAGGAACCTTCGTTCACAGATGAGCGGAGGGGGTTGGGGAGCCCTGGTCGGTGGGGGGCAGTGTGGGAGCGATGAGGTGGTCACAGGTGCACCAGAGCCTGATGTCCGCCTTCCAAGGCCACTGCTCCGTCTCCGGGCTGGGGACTTCCTGGCCACCCTGGGGCGCCCTCAGGAGAGCCACGGCTCAATGCAGGTCTTGTAAAGGGTGCGGTTGGAGTGCCAGGCCGTGTGGGCGATCCCAGCCATCGGGCACCGCTCTATGGCTCCCCGGGCCAACAGCGTCTTCAACCCGAAAGAATCTCGCAGATAAACCTTCGAGGTGGCAAAGGGGCAGGAATGCAGGGAAAGAGGACAGGGAGGGAGACCGCGTGAGCGCCTGGGCGTTCGGGCTCCCGCCCGCCCAGAGAGGTAAACCCAGTGGCAGCAGGGAGGGCGACCGCAGGAAGTGGGACGGGGGAAGAGAGGGCGTCCCAAGGGCTCACCGGCTGCTCCTCCATCTCCAGCACCGTCTCATTGGCATCATAGAAACCAAAGAAGCTGCAAAGAGATTGGGGGAGGTCACCCGGGAGCAGGAGGTCACAGAGGTGAGCTGGGCTCCTGCAGCAACCCAAAACCTGCTGGGGAAACTTACATCTCCCAAGCGGGTATCCTGAGGGGGCAGCTGCATTGCTGCCAATCCCTCCCCAAACCGCACAGCCTGACAAATCAGGATGAGATACTCATAAACCCAAGCCCAGGGACAGTCTACAGGTAGCTGGTCTGGTGGATGTGGCAGCCCGCACCTCCAAACCTAGCACTCTCGGAGCTCACAAGGTTGATCCCAGCCTGGGAAACTTAGTGACTCAGGGAGGCCCTGTCTCAAAAAACTGAAGAAAGTAGCCAGGTGCGGTGGCACACACCTGCAATCCCAGCACTAGCCTGTAATTCCAGCACTCGGAAGGCTGAGGCAGCCTGGGCTACAAAGTGAGCTCAAGGCCAGCCTGAACTGCACAGTGAGACCCTGTCTCAAAAAGACAAAAAAAATTGAATAAAGTGCTGGGGATACAGCTCCCTGTAAAGGCCCTGCAGGGCCCTTCCAGTATCGTAGAAATGCAACATTCTGGGCAAAGATTGAAGAGCAATTCCAGATTAAAAGAGAGTAAATGCAACATGTGACCCTGAGCTGGAGCTTGCACTGGATATATTTTCTCTATAAGAACAATCAGAGACCAGGCATGGTGGCACATGCCTATAATACTAGCACTTGGGAGGCTGAGGCAGGAGGATCACTGTGAGTTGAGGCCAGCCTGGGCTACATAAGAAAGTTCAAGGCCAGCCTGCACTATTCAGTGAGACTCTGTCTCAAAAAACAAAACAGGCCGGGCATAGTGGCGCATGCCTGTAATCCCAGCACTTGGGAGACTGAGGCAGGAGGATCATTGTGAGTTCTAAGCCAGACTGGGCTACAAAGTGAGCCCAAGGTCAGCCTGAACTGCATAGGGAGACCCTGTCTCAAAACAACAAAACAAAACAAAAACCTAACCCATAGGGCTGGGGATTTAGCTCAGTGGCACAGCACCTGCCTGGCAAGCACAAGGTTGTGAGTTCGGTTCCTGGTACCGGGGGAAAAAAGACAAAACAAAACAAAACAAAAAAAAAACAAAAACCCAACCCAAACAATCAGAAAAATGTGAATAGCACCAGGCCTGGTGGCACACTTGTAATTCCAGCACTTGGGAGACTGAGGCAGGAAGATCGTCGCGAGTTCAAGACCAGCCTGGGCTACGAAGTGAGCTCAAGGCCAGCCTGAACTGCAAAGTGTGACCCTGTCTCAAAAAGACAAAAAAAAACCAAAAAAATGTAAATAGCATCTACAGATCACAGAGCTCCATGTTACAGTCGCATTTTCGGTTTCCTACTTTGGAAAACTCCAATGCAGCTGTATAGAAGAACATCCTGGGTTTGTCGTTACTGTTTGCTTGGGGGTCACGTTATGCAATCTAGGCTGGCCTTGAACTCACTGTGTAGCCCAAGCCAGCTTCAAGCTCACAACCCTCCTGCCTCCTCCAAGTGCTGGGATTACAGGCAGGTGTCACCACGTCTGGCTCTCCTGGGATTTTGTTGTCGTTTTTGTGATACTGGAGCTGGAGCCCAGGGGCACTCTACCACTGAGCTACATCCCCTATCCTTTTTTTGGTTTTATATTTTGAGACAAGGTCTTACTACATTGCACAGGCTGGCCTTGAATTTGAGATCATCCTGCCTCAGCTTCCGGAATAGCTGGGATTATAGACATGAGCCACCATGCTCAGTGGGAATGTCTTGCTTATTGAAAATACATCTTTGGGGGTTGGGGATTTAGCTCAGCGGCACAGCACCTGCCTGGCAAGCGCAAGGTCATGAGTTCGATTCCTAGTACTGGAAAAAAAGAAAAAACAAAAAAAAAGGGGGGAAAAAAAAGAAAATACATCCTAAGCCGGGCATGGTGGCACATGTCTGTAATCCTAGCACTCGGGAGGCTGAGGCAAGAGGATCGTTGCAAGTTCGAGACCAGCCTGGCCACAAAGTGAGCTCAAGGCCAGCTTGAACTGCATAGTGAGACCCTGTCTCAAAAAGACAAAAAAAAAAAAAAAAAAAGAAAAAGAGAGGAAAAAAAGAAAATACATCCTTCCACATCAATAATATACATATCATGAGATATGTATTATGAGATATTATGCCTGCACACTATTCTCCAGGTGGTCACACAAAAAATTAATATACATATGTTAATGTTTGGTATATCTGAATGGACAATTGAATATTAACATATGTAAATAAATATACACTTAAGGAGACAGAGAAGATGTTACAGTAAATGTTAACATCTGGGAAATCTAGGGGCTGGGGATTTAGCTCAGCGGCACAGTGCCTGCCTGGCAAGCGCAAGGTCGTGAGTTTGATTCCCAGTACCGGAAAAAAAAAACAACCACAAAAAAACATCTGGGAAATCTAGGTGAAGTACACACAAGAATGCTTTGTGCTGTTCTGGTGACTTCAATGTGTGGTATACGTGGTTGGAACCCAGGTTTTGTGCACTCAAGGCAACTGTCCTGCCCCTAAGCCACTTCCTCAGCCCCCAAAATGACATTTCAAAATAAAAAAGGTGTGTCTGTGTGTGTTTTGAGACAAGGTCTGGGCTATGTAGTTCAGACTGGTTTTGACCTATGTAGCCCATGCTGGCCTCAAACTCCCATTGACCCTCCTGCCTCAGCCTCCAGAGTACTGTGATTACAGGTGTGCGCCATCACACAAGGCAGCACATTTTTTAAAGTAAGGCATATTTAAGCCACACACGATGGTGAATGTCTACAATCTCAGCATTTAGGAGGCTGAGGCTGGAGGTTTGCTAGGCGTTCTAGGCTAGCAGGGGCTACATAGTGAGTTCAAGGCTTGCCTGAACTATATAGTGAGACCCTGTCTCAAAAACCAAAGCCACAAAGGAAATAAAGAAAAAGAAGAACATTTAACTGGCACAGTTACTGAGTGGCTCCTCAGCATGAATAACTCAACAAAGGTGGGGGTGGGGGTACATCCCAGCACTCCGTGAACATGAAGCAGGAAGATTACAAGTTTGAGCCCAGCCTGGGCAACTTTGTACTTAGTGAGAGCCTCGTCTCAAAATGAAAAATAAAAAGTCACCGGGCGTGGTGGTGCACGCCTGTAATCCCGGCACTCGGGAGGCTGAGGCAGGAGGATTGTTGCGAGTTCTAGACCAGCCTGGGCTACAAAGTGAGCTCAAGGCCAGCCTGGACTGCATAATGAGACCCTGTCTCAAAAAGACAAAAAATAAAAAAAAATTTAGAAAAAGTCATATTGCTCAGTACAAAGGCCCTGGGTTCAACCCCTAGGACCCCTCCCACAATGAACAAAATGCTAACAAAGTCCAGCAGAACAAAGAGGAGAGTTTACACTTTTTTTCGGGGGGGGGGGCGGGTACCAGGAATCAAACTTGGGACCCGGCGCTTGCCAGGCAGGGACTTGTGCCGCTGAGCTATATCCCCGGCCCTCTACGCTCTTACTTTTTAAGGCATCAACACAGCTCCCCCGATTGCTCTTGGAACAGGGAAGGCCGCTCCAGATGAGGGCAGAACAAGAACAAAAGCAAGAGAGACTCACTGGACACACAGAGGGGCTGGGGAGCGGGCATGGTGGCACACACCTGTAATCCCAGCACTTCTGTAATCCCAGCACTCGGGAGGCTGAGGCAGGAGAGTCAATGGGAGTTTGAGGCCAGCCTGGGCTACAAAGTGGGCTACAAGACCCTGTCTCAAAAACCCAAGCGGGGGGCACCCTGGGGAGGCCTGGTGTTGAGTTTAAAGTAAAGAATATTTAAGCTATACATAATAGTACATGCCTATAATCTCAGCATTTAGGAGGCTGAGGCAGGAAGCGTTTCAGGTGCAAGCGATCAGGAGGGCCACCCAGGCCTGAATCTGAACCCCAGCTCTGGCACAGTCTTCCTGAGTGCATGCAAGACCCTGTCACCTACCTGCCTGGCCCATCTGAGAATACCTCTGTTAAGAGAGGAAGTAAGCCGCTGTGGGTAGGAGCCAGACAGCCTGACCTCACCGCTTACTCATCTATGAATACGTGCACGTGTTTAATCCCCTCCCACGTCTCCCCAAGGGGAAACTGCCCCACTGGGTTGTCAAGAGGGTGAAATTGGCTAACATATAAAAAAGTACTTCTTTTCTTTCTTTTTGCAATGCCAGCGTTTTAATACGGCCTCCACACTGAGCTACTCCACATCCCCCACCCTTTGCTTTTTGTTGTTTTTTTGAGGCAAGGTCTAAGTCCAAATTGCCCCAGCTGGGCTTCAACTTGTCATTCTCCTGCCTCGGCCTCCCAGAGTACTGAAATTACAGGCACAGGCTACCATGCCCAGCAATAAAAACTACTTTAAAGTTATGCCTTGGGGCGTGAGAATGTTATAACTATGAGCTATTACTATCACTGACAGGACTGTTCCCCATGTGGAATGAGATAATGTACATAAAAGCCAGCCCTTGTCAGCTGTGATGGTGCATGCCTGTGACCCCAGCACTCTGGAGGCTGAGGCAGGAGGATCCACCGCTGCCTAAGTATGAGGCCAGCCTGGGCTACACAGTGAATTCAAGGACATACTGAACTGCACAGTAAGACCCTGTCTTTTAAAAAAAAAAAGGCCACCCTCACAATCCCAGCATTACAATACTGTGAGCAAGGTCACCTTTTCCCTCAAAACCCTCCACTGCCTTCACTCAGAGAAAATTGAAAGGCCCTCGGTGCCGGGCGGGCGGGAACAGGGACTTACTGTTTAATGGGCACGGAGTTTCATTTTTGTTTTTTGTTTTTTTTTCAGTACCAGGAATCGAACTCACGACCTCACGCTTGCCAGGCAGGCGCTGTGCTGCTGAGCTAAATCCCCAGCCCCTGGAGTTTCATTTTGAGGGCCAATTCTGGAGATGGATGGTAGTGACAGTTGAACAATATAAATGTTCTTACCGCCACAGAACTGAAGTTTTTAAACTTAAAAATGGTCAGAATGGTTGTTTTTGTTACCTATCTATCTATATACTTTTTTCTGGTGTTCTGATCCATAACCTTGCGTGCGCTAGGCAAGTGTTTTACTGAGCTACACGGCATTATTCCCTGTATCTCATCTTAAAAAGAAAAAACCAGCTAGGCGTGGGGGTGCAATCCTATAACACCAGCACTCGGGGAGGCTAAAGCCAGAGGATCCCAAGGTAGGTCCCGCCCTAGGCAACTTCGCACCTCAAAGACCTCTCTGACTGCCACACAGGCTAGGCCCCAGGCACCCTCACATCCCTTCCCTCCCTTTGCTACTGCCACCCGACATATATTTGCACTTATCATCTTCCCAGCTAGAATCTAACCTGCCAGCACCTGGGACCTCTCTTTCACGCGCTGCTGTAGCCCAGGGCCCAGAACAGTACCTGGGCCCACAGTGCTCAGTGCGTGTCTGCTGGCTAAGGTAGGCAGGTGACATTTCAGATCACTTACAAAGGAAGGCAAGCATGTGGTGCCAGGGAGCACGGATCTGCCTGAGCAAGGAGGAGGGGCGGAGGCTGGAGGTTGTTCTAGCAGCCTCCATAGTAAGTAGAAAGGGGGTGGGCAGTGTGATAAAACAGCAGTCACACCTGTGTCAATTTCCTGGTTTTGATATTGTGCTTCAGTACAGAAGATGCAACCAGGAGGGAGATTAGGTGAAGTGTTCCCAGGACCTGTTGCAACTTTCTATAAAGCCATAATTATGTCAAAGTTCCAAGTTTATGTAAGGGGCCAGGCATGGCAGCACACACCTGTAATCCCAGCACTCGGGAGGCTGAGGCAGGAGGATCATTGCAAGTTCGAGGCCAGTCTGGACTACAAAGTAAGCTCAAGGCCAGCCTAAACTGCACATCAAGATCCTGTCTCAAAAAGACAAAAAAATAAATAAATAAATAAACAAAGTTTACATAAGGGCTAGAGATGTAGCTAAGTGGTAAAGCACTTGCCTAGCACACACAAGGCCCTCGGTTCAATCCCCAGCACTGCAAAAGAAAAAAAAACAAAAAGTTTCCACAAAAGGGGGTGGGGTGTTGGGATGGAGAGGAAGTCAGGTCCCCAGGAGCTGGTGCCGCCCTGGGGCCCTCAGGTTTTGCATTTTCAGAACAGAACTGTGGGAGTGGCACTGGCTGAACACTGAGCAGAGCTGGCTGGTTTTAGGCAGGAGACAGACTGGCGGGCCGGGAGGGAGCGGGGAGCCAATCTTCAGGCCTAGTGACGCGATTACCTGGACTGCCAAGGAGTAATAACGCCATCATCCGGGCCTCCAATCAGCACCAGGCGGCCCACACGCAGGAAGTTCTTCCGCCACGCTGCAGGGCGGAAAGAAGGGAAACTGAGTCGGCCACAGAGGTCAGGCCGGAGCGGAGACACAGCAGGCTGGAGAGGCAGTACCGGGAAGGCAGGGCGGCGCGTGGGGTCTCACCAGTGGCGTTGGGGTGGTCTCTCTCCCCGTTGATCAGGGCCAGGAAGCTGCTGGCATTGAGGTACAAGTCATCGTGGTGGGGGTCTGCGTGCAAACAGTGAGAAAGACAGTCAGACAGCAGAGTGGGGAGTGAGACTGCAGGCTGGGAGGCCAGCCAGGAGGAGGCTGCAGTCACAGGCCGGACAGCAATATGACAGAAGCAGGAATGGTAATTGTAAATGTGATAGGAAACTCTTTATCTAGCACCTACTGCGATTCGGTACTGTTCAAAATCCATTCCAGCCAGGGATGTAGCTCAGTGGCATAAGTGCTTGCCTGGCAAGCCTAAGGTCATGAGTTTGATTCCCAGTACCAAAAAAAAAAAAAAAAAAAGTTTTGGGCTGGGGATATAGCTCAGTGGCATAAGCGCCTGCCTGGGAAATGCAAGGTCCTGAGTTCCATTCCTGGGACCAGAAAAAAAAAAAAAGCATTCTATCCATTAATATACTTCATCCTCATGACTCCCCTATAAAGTACGTGCTACATTATCATTCTACGGATGAGGGAAACTGAGTCACAGAAACACAAAGTAACTCGTCCAAAGTCACCCAGCAGAGTCAGGTTTCAGACCCAAGCAGTCCGGTTCCAGCACCATGGTCTTAAACCCCAGCTGAGAGGCTGCAGGATTTAAGACCAACCGCAGCTCACCACTGTTTTCTTTTCTTTTTTTTTTAAATTTTTTTTTTCCAGTAATTACCGGGAATCGAACTCATGACCTCACACTTGCCACGCAGGCGCTGTGCCGCTGAATTAATTCCCCAGCCCCCACCACTGTTTTCATGAATAAAGTTTCACTGGCCATGGACGCGCTCTCACTCATCTATGTTCTCTGGCTGCTTGCATTACCACAGCAGAACTCAGCAAGGCCAGAGACCAGAGGGCCTACAAAGCCAAACCATTTACCCTCTGGCACTTCACAGAAAAGACGGGCTAATCCTGCATCAGACTAGCAATCAGCTGACAGACACAAAGCACACCAAACATTGCTTGTTCAACAGAGAGTGCTCAATAAATCAAAGTTGTTGCTATTGTCATCGCTATCCGCCGGCCACGGTAGAGGTGGACAGCAGGCCTTGCCCTCCGCATGCCCTCTCCACGGGGACCCAGCGCGGACCCCCACGCACCGTGCCAGTAGTTGCAGATGGAGAATTCCTGGCCCCAGGGGCTGTAGCAGATGCGGTAGAGGTTGGACCGCATGGAGGTGGGGAACAGCCACTTCAAGTAGTCCGTGTCTGGCAAGAGAAGAGCAGTGCCAAGTGACCACAAAGCGCTGGGCCCCAAACCCGGGGCCTTCCCTGCAGCCCACAGGGCCCACTCACCCCCATACTGCCCCATCTGCGGAGAGGAGAGGGAGATGAAGGAGTCCACGTTGTGCTCATCCATGACAGAGAGCAGAGCCCGGCACACGAGGCCTCCTGCGGACAGAATACCAGCATCGGACAGAGAACTGAGGACAGCCAGGTCATCAGCCCTGCCTTGTCCCCCAACACGAGGAACACAAGGACACTGAGACCCAGAGAACGCAGACACACCCTGTGGCGAAAGCTAAGTGACAGAATCAGAACTACAATCTAGGCTTCCTGGCTCGAGGGATTTTTCTTTTTGAGATAGTCCTGTCATGTAGCCCAGGCTGGCTTTGAACTCAAAATCCTCCTGCCTCAGCCTCCTGACTGCTGGAATTACAAGCCTGCGCCACCATGCTGGGCTCTCCAGCGTGCTCTGTGTGGCCCCATGTCCACAGACCCAAAAACCATGAGTAATGGGGAGAGAAGAAGCAGTGATGCAAGGAGCCCCCCTCCCCTCAGGCCGGGACAGGTAAAAGAGGCTAGGGCTAAAGCATGTCAGAGAAAAGCGCTCAGTTACCAAGCTGCCGCTGGGGTAAGGTAGTTCAGAAAGGGGGGTGCTAGAAAGTACCCTCAGGTAAGGATCAGGACTCAAACAGGGCTGAGGAGACGGGAGAGGGGTTGCCTACCCTGGGAGTAGCAGATGAGATGCACCCCTTGAGGCGCCTTTGCCATGAGGGGGGCCACGGCCTCTTGGAACCCTTGCACCTGTTCCCACAGGGGCCGCAAGCTCTCTCTGCCATCGAAGAGATCGAGCACTGTCACCACGGTCCCGGGGTGTGTCTGTGGGAAGGGGGCAGCGTGATCACCGGGGATGGACCCCACAGCCCGCCCCGCCCCGCCAGCATCCCCGTGCGCACTGTGCCTGCCGGAGCAGCACCCCTTCCCCCAGCTCTCCCTGCAGCCGCAGCAGCAGCAGCAGCAGGCCCTGGCAGGCCGCGGGGCTCCAGCTGCCCACTCTTCCCCAGGCACCGCAGGCACCTCCAGAGCCCTCCACCCGGTGTCCCGGCCGACCTCGTTGATGTATTCCAGCAGGTGGCGGAAGCTGTACGAGCTGTCAAACAGTCCGTGCACCACGATGACCGGCTTGTAGGACGCGCGGCGGGGGGCGGGGGCTGCGGGCAGCGAGGGCAGCAGCAACAGCAGTGACCACAGGAGCAGCACCCACGCCGAGGGGAGCCTGCGCCCCCAGAGCTCCAGCATGCTCCCGCCTGAGAAAGGGGAGTGAGGGCCTGTGAGGCAGGTGGCAAGAGCGCGCCTCGGCCCAGACGCCCCGCGACCAGGCCTCCCCGACCCGTTCCCATACGCGACCCCCGTCGCCAACAGCCTCGGACTGGGGTCCTCTCCCCGCAAACACAGCCCTCCCCGCCGCGCCACGCGCACCAGAAGTCCCGCCCCCCACTCCGCGCCCCCGGACGCCGTCCCGAGGCCCGGATCTTCCTTCTGCCCCCGCCGCAGCCTGCACACCCCGGGGCTCTCATGACCCCTCGGCAGCGCCCCTGGGGAGCGAGGCTCCCACCTGGCCTGGGTCGCGGGCCTCGCTGTTTACTTCTCCCTATCTGGAGCCCGGGGAGGGAAAGAGAGGGAAGGGGGGGGAGGGGAGGGGAGGAGCGCGCAGGGGCATGGGGGGGGACCGCTCGGGGTCGCGCGGAGCCGTCACGTCCGGGGCTTTCCCTGGCAACGGTGAGAGCGTCCCCAGCAACGCCGGCGAGCACCGGAGGGGCAATGGAATATTCCATTGCGCCCAGGGCGCTGGGGAGGTACGAGGCGGAGCGATCCATTCAGGCCGCGGGGAGAAGCAGCGGCGGAGGAGCCCTGGCTATCGGAAGGAGGCCTCGCCAGGCCTGGCTGCACCCGGGACCCGCGATCCCGCTGCCTCCGCCTCGAGCCGGCGCCTCGACTCGCCCCACCTCCCGATCGAGGCGTCGGGCTCCGCCGCACAACCTGAACTTCTGGGTCCCCGAGGGGCGGCGGGGGATGGGCTGGGTAAAGGTGGTCCCCGCGGTTTCCTCAGCGAGCCTGGGGCTGCGGGCAGCCGGTGCGCGCCCCGGGGCGGCGTCTTACAGCTCTCCGTTTTGAAGTGCGTGTAGCGCCCGTGTCTCGGGAGACTCGGAGAGCCCTTGAGGTCCTCGAGCTAAGTGCGGCCGACCAGTTCTCCAGCCCAGCTCCCCGGCCGGCGCGACCCACCCTTGGGGCGGAGGGCCCCGGGGCTGCGCTGAGTCACGTGCGCCCACCCTGCGCGCCCCGGCCGCGGCTCGGTGGGCGGCTCCGACCCGCGCCCTCCCAGACCTGCGCCCTCCCAGCGTCCGCGCCGGGGCACCTGTCGGGCGACGCCTACCGACGCCGGGAGCCAGGGGAGGCCTCTATCTGTCAGGGCTTTGACCTAGCTTTGAAGACGCGTCCCGGAGAACTGGATTTCTCAGCAGGCCGGCGCCCCTTTGCTCGCTCTGAACTGTCTCCCAATAAAACCTTTTAAGCTCAGGAGTGTGGAGTGAGGGAGGGTGGGAGTGAGGGATTCGGAGCTCACGAGAACACCTGGAGAACCGGGAGGACCGGCGACAAGCGCGATCTGAGCGCCGGCGGCCTGGGCCTGCTCGGGCGAGGACCCCTGCTGCAAGGCCTGGCTCGGATGCAGACCCGCGGGGCTCGGCCCGCAGAGCGACTGCCCCGGGCGGAGGCTGAGGTGCTCGCCTGGGGAGGGTGGCGGCGCGGGGTGGGGGGGGTGGATAGCCATGTCTCTGGCTGTGTTTCGGCAAAAACCCTAACCGGTGCACAAGCCGGTGGTAGACCGCCTAGCCTCACCCCGAACCCCAGCGCCTGCAAAACGCCAAGACTGCAACCACCGCTGAGCCTCAGGTCGACTCCGGAGGGGTGGCCTCCTGGGGGATGGTGGGACGGATTCGTGGAAGGGACCTGAACACGGACCGGCCCAGGAATTCCTATGCCGACCAAAAACTGAAGTGGGGAACAGGCGTGCACGTCCAAAGCAGCGACGCCCCGGAAACGTGTACAGAAGGCGTCTCTGTCCCTAAGTATTTGAGCTCCTTAAACCTGGAAAAAGGCATCCAGCCCGGTGTGGGGGCAGATGCTGGGAGGCTGAGATGCGAGGATCGAAAATTCAAGCTCAACCTGGGCAGTTCAGTGAGACTGTTTATAATTTTAAAGGGGGTGGGGGGTAGATGTAGCTCAGTGGAAGGCCCTGGGAGCGACCCCCAGGACTGTTACTGGATGCCCATAGGCTTAGGTTTGTTTGCTCTGCTATGATCAAATTAGAGGAGGCCATACGCTCTGGTAAAAAGGAAGAGAGGACTTATTCAAATCTAGTTTTGAGAAGATGGGGGGCCCATTTGCTTCAACTCAAGGTCTTGCTGTGGCAGGGTGGCTAAGGGTCTTTTGTAGTACGGAGGAAGGGGGGACCACAGAGAGACAATGCAGATCACGCCTGCTTTTTTGTTGTTTGGTTGGATTGTTTTGCTTTTTGTTTTTTAGACAGGCTCTCGCTGTAGTTCAGGCTGGTCTTGAACTCACCAAGGCCCAGGCTGGCCTTGAACCTGCTCCTCCTGCTTCAGCCTCCCAAGGACTAGGCTTACAGCCATGGACCCCCAGCCAGGCAGATCACACTTGTTTTAATGCTTCCAGCTATCTTCTGTTCCTTGTCCTCTTTCTTGTAGAAAGAAAACAGCTTTTGCCTGGTAGGGCTGGCATCTGCATGTGCTGTCACTTTTAGACTGAGGGAAGGAGGGGGTGTTGTTTATGTGCCCAGCAGGAGGAAGCTTATCTCTAAAAGAAAAAAAAAAAAAAATCTAACTTTTCAAGTTCTACTTTGGCCTGGTGTGGTGACACACATGCTTGTAATCCCAGCACTCGAGAGGCTGAGGCAGGAGGATCACAAGTTCCAGGCCTGTTTGGGCTACATAATGTGTTCAAGGCTAGCCTGAACTACAAAGCAAGACCATGTCTCAAAAAGCCAAAATAAATAAATAAAGTTTCACTTTGCACTGTCAGTTACAGTCCAAAAAAAAAAAAAACAAACTAACCACATTGGTACCTTGAGACAAGACCTGAGCTTCCCACTTTACTCCCCAAGATGGCAGGTCTGGGCTGTGCAACCCAGGAAGCCATCTCAGCCGTCCTCAACTCTGTACAGTTCTCACTCACACACAGCACACAGCTAGGACCAAGGACTTGGGAGGACATCCCGGCACCCTGCACGGAGCTCTGAGGGAAACTGAGGTGGAGAAGACGGGCCTGGGTGAACCAGGGCAGGTGGTGCAGCTGGTCTACAGAATCCACTGAGCACCCGCTAGCTTCCTCACTACCGCCAGTCTGGTCTCCGAAGGGAAGACTCTAGAGAGTTCTCTCCCCATCCTTCTCCTAGTCCCTCCTTCCTTTCCTGGTCCTGCCTCCCAGTTTCCATGACAACTCCAAGGGAGCCCAAACTGGGGGCTTGAATGCCAGGGTGAGAGGAGGAGAGAGGTGGTCCAAGAGCAGAGGGAGAGGGAGTTGGGGGACGTCTGAAGCTCCCCCTCCCTGCCTCGGTCCCTTTAAGCTCCCCCCCTCCCGCTCTCCCTCCGCCCCCCACCCCCCACCGTCTTCATCTCTCCGTCTCTGCGCGGCTGCGGGCTGCGCCATCCCGGACCCAGACTCAGGCGCTCGCCAGGGGCCCCTGACTCCGGCTGCAGGGACCTTGTCCCAGGGAGACCACAGGCATGTCATCGGAGAAGTCAGGTAAAAAACAATAACAAACCTCCTCTCCTCCTCCATCATCTCTGGACACCCCCCCTCCTCCACCCTCCCTAGCGGCTCGGTCTGGGTCCATTCTCCGTGTCTCCAGCTCCCAGCCCCCTTCCCCGCTTTCCATCGACCACCTTGCTTTGATTTTTCCTCCTCCTAGTCCCAGTCTCTGCCCCTTGCCAGCATCTTAGGAGGCGGGCAGGTTGAGAGGCCAAGGCAGGCAGAGTGGCTTCGCCTTGGCCAGGTACTGCGGGGACGGCATCCCTGGTAGCGCCAGATGGACCGTCCCCGGCCCACCCGCATCCAGACGCCCGGTGGGGAATATGGAGTCAGGACCAGATGGGGCTGTTAGGAAAGTTAAGAGGCCGAGACCCTGGGCCCTAAAAGTCCCCCAAGGTCCCCAGAGGGCCCAGGGCCCTCCTTCCCCAGTGAGGGAGACCGAGGACGGGTCCTCCCCCCGCCCCGCGCTGACCCCGCTGGGGAGCACAGTGTTGCGCGTCCGCGCGTGTGCGCACACAGGACCGCCCGGCGGGGCTGGCACCGGGTCGGTGGGTGACCACTGAGTGCAGGCTGCAGAAAAAGAAGGACGAGGAGCAGAGAGCTGTGACCTGAAACCCAGGTGCAAGTGGGGGTGGTGGCCTAGATAC